TTGTTTGTCTAGGGGATGGGACCAGACAGGTTCAAATGGAGCGAACTTGTCGTTCCCAGCAGAGTTTGGCATTTCTTTTGGTAATGGAGAACCGAACTCCGAGAGCCACGAGTGGATCGTTGGTATGATCAACTCTGGGTAAGAAATCTCCTGTTCATATTAAGTGTCTCCTTCTGACATGCGACACCAGACCATATCTCGCATCTTGCCTTCTCGGATGTTGGCTCACTGATCCTTTGAACCACTACCTGGGTCGCCGTGGCACATTGTTCTTCTGCGGTATCTTCTGTATGTTCTCGGTCATCGGGCAAGGCCTATCTCAAACATGGCCTCAGCTTTTTGTGAGCAGTTTTGCTCTGTGCGCTCGAACATTTCACTCACTCGACGATCTTCGCTGTGCAGGTTTGTCGTCTACTCCTTGGATTTGGAATGGGTCCCAAAGCGGCGACGTCTCCCGTCTTTGCTGCCGAAAATACGCCTGCGAACATTCGAGGCGGTTTAGTCATGTCCTGGCAGATGTGGGTACGTACTACTTTAGATTTTGGAATGCTTTTTACACATTCAGGTTCTAACGATATTTTCAGACTGCTTTCGGTATCATGTTGGGCTTCAGCGCGAATCTTGCCCTCTTTCAAGTCGGTCCCATTGCATGGCGTCTCCAACTCGGATCTGCCTTCTTGCCTGCCGTACCCCTCACAGCTTTGATCTATTTCTGCCCTGGTGAGTCACCCCGCTCATTTCATCGCGTTTTCAACTAACCCCGTCATATAGAATCACCCCGTTGGCTCATGAAGAAAGGCCGGTATCACGATGCGTACACATCCTTCAAACGCCTGCGCAACAGCGAGCTTCAGGCCGCCCGTGACCTCTACTACGTGCATCGGCAGTTGATCGAAGAGTTTGCTGTGATCAAGGGTTCCACCTTCTTCACGCGCTTCTGCGAGCTCTTCACCATTCCTCGTGTGCGCCGCGCCACCCTAGCATCCTTCATCGTCATGATCGCGCAGCAGATGTGCGGTATCAACATTATTGCCTTCTACTCGTCGACCATCTTCTTCAACGCCGGCTACACCACAAAACAGGCTCTCCTTGCGTCATGGGGCTTTGGTATGGTCAACTGGGTCTTTGCCTTCCCTGCTGTCTGGGTAAGCTCACGCATTTCCCTTGTTTCAACTTTTACTGAGCTGGAACCATAGACTATTGATACCTTCGGCCGTCGCAATCTCCTCTTGTTCACATTCCCCAACATGGCGTGGACTTTGCTCGCAGCGGGCTTCTGTTTCCTCATCCCTGAAAGTAGTGCTGCTCGTGTCCCTCTTATTGCACTATTTATCTTCCTCTTTGCTGGTACGTTCACCTGTTTTGAAAGCTTTCCCAAGCAGAAAGGCTAAAGTCATCGCCCTGTAGCGTTCTACTCTCCTGGAGAAGGCCCCGTGCCCTTCACATACTCTGCCGAAGTCTTCCCGTTGACGCACAGAGAGATGGGCATGTGAGTTTCCGGCGAACATTCTCCTTTTGTTATCCTTTCTAACTTGTCACAGGTCGTGGGCTGCGGCAACCGTCTTCTTCTGGGGCTCGGTTCTCTCCTTGACATTCCCGCGTACCCTATCCTCGTTGGGCTCTACTGGAGGTTCGTTCTGCATCCACGCTCGCGTCAAAACCATCTCATTGAATATTTCCCATACAGCGTTTGGATTGTATGCCGGCCTGAACGTCATCGCCTTCATCTTGATCTTCCTCCTTCTTCCCGGTAAGATATTTCTTCCAATCCGCCCACTAAGAATCATATCCAATGGCGTTTCAGAAACCAAACAGCGCACCCTCGAGGAGCTGGACTATGTCTTCGCCGTCCCCATGACGCGGCACATGAGCTATCAAACCCAGACCTTCTTGCCCTACTGGATCAAGCGTTATGTCCTTTTCCAGAAGGTAGAGCTCAAACCCTTGTACAACTTCGACGAGGTGGAGAGCATCACGGTGTACGAAAAGGGCGCCTCCCACTAAGTGGCATGGACTGCCTGATGACATCGACGAGTCACGACGATTCGATTTCTTGAACGAACTAGTACGACTTTTGTTTTCATAGCGGTTGCGCTTGTACCAGTAATCCATTTCTTGTTTTGCACTTATAAGTACATGCCCGTGAGTTGTTGTCGATGTGCTGTCTCGTCGACAATTTCGACTAATAGCTGGAATATGTGAGAATGAATCTCCCTCGAATTTTGATCATGGAAGGAAGCTTTTAAAGATCTTCAATCATTATCAGTGACACTGGAACTTCCTTCCGATCAACAACGCGTGCTGAAGTTTTCGCTCCTCTTTCCCGTCCCCTCCTGTCTACCTCAATGTTCAGCTTCGTGTCTCGCTGCTTCTTATAATATGGCTCCTGTATGAGCCGATCTTCTCTCATGAAAAGTCCTACGATGACCTCAATAGTTACTGTAATAGGCGCATAGGCACTCTACTCTGTTTTCATCCTGGCGTAGCGTCTTGAGGTAAGCATTAGAAATCTTCTCAGTCATTCTCATCTTCCAGGGCGGTAGATCATCACGACTCATTCGTCTCTGGGACTATGGCACTTGGAGGACGATGCTCTTGATTTGGAGAATGCTGCGGTTGAACCGTGAATGTGACAGGTACGTCCGAACTCCTCGTCGCTGTGTTCTTTCGCTCACGCTGGCAGTGACTAGTAAAACTACCGCCGGATAGCATGAACATCGTTCTACGATTCGACCTTTCATCGGCGAGATCCCAGGTTCCAACGGGGAGGAGCATTGTCAGCCGATAAGTCGATGCAGTCGGGCCTCGAAGAGCAAGCAATTCGGAGCAGTCTATTTTGCAACATATCCGCAGTCTCGTGCGTCCCCCTTCTTTTCTTCACTCACGTCGGCTCACCTGTTGGCAAATGCTACCAAGTTTGACTATGGGCCACGCTGCACACGAGTTCTTGCCTGGCTCCTTCGTAGCTGTTTTTTTTTTACTTCCTCGCATCTTTACTAGTAACCTAGCCTCTCCCGACCCGTACCGTCGCACGCCGGTCCCTGCTATCCAAATGTACAAAGCGTCACGCAGGCCAGGCCGACTGTCGTTGTCGTCGATGAACGTGTACTCGGGTGCGAGAAATCTTACCTTTCATGCGTGACCTCAACTCAGCCAACTATCTATCAGTCTTAAAGCACCAAAAAGTGACCTTCAACCAAGACGCGCCTGGCCCGTTCTTTGGCACGCCCCGCTTGCGGTTTGACTCAGAGTCAATGCTGAAATATGTATAGGTTTGTTAGTACTCGGACGGTGTCAGTGCCGTGCGCTGGGAACTTGAAAGCTGACAACCCCCACAGTAGCATTGAGCTTGGAGCCGCTGCAATGCGGAAAGCCTTCGACCTGTTACGAAATGCGTTCATCGGCCCGTCCTGATCGTTTGATGCTCCTGCTTAATGCGTGCTTCCTATTCTCTTCCATCTCGGCTCTCTCGGGATCTCTCTTCTCCGCACCAGTCACTACTCGTCCCTGCCTGCGCTATCGTACTGGTCGACGCGGAGCCAACTCAAGAAATTAAAGAGGGACAGCAGCTGAGCCGGACATAAACGTTCTGCATGATCGACTTTGTAAATTTCTTATCACCTATCTTGAAGTTGTAATACTTACGCGACGTTGTCCCTCGGAGTCCAACAACCGAGCAGCAAGTGACAATTGGTAGCGTCCAGGATGCTTATGGCCGCTATGGGGGCAGCAAAGCGTCTCCGAAGCACGGTCCCTCATTGCCGCAACTACCATCTTGAAGCCGAGCTGATTCGAGTTTCAGCGGCAGTGCTCAATGAAAGTTAAAGCTTGCTCGCCTACCCGAACATAGCCTTGAGACGCGACACAAAGTGTCAGACATTGAATGCCACGCGCACGACATCTCAAACGATACTTACCCCCAGTTGTCGCAGCCAACCGGGTCCGGGCAGTGACAACCGGGCATCGTGATCGTGATCATGGCAGACGCGGCATAAAGACACCGAATGCACACGACGTGGAACGCGACGCCATATACGTCTTCAACTTTTCGCGTTCGCTGCGCTACTGGACTGAGATATCAACTCAGGCCAAGCATTGCGGATGCGGTAGCTGATCTCCCTTGCAGGGATAGGGGTCTTTGCAATGTTGCACGGGTTAACATACGCGGCGGAAGTTACATCACAAAGCTCTGTCCCACATAGGCGAACTCTCCCCGGCGTCCTGTGGGCAGTGCGCTCCAGTATAAAAGGATTTAGAGGTGCAGTAAACCATCAACGGGTTCCACAAACAGCCTAAAATGAAGTTCGCTCTCTCTGCCACTCTCCTCTCACTTGCCAGTCTTGCGCTGTCTGCCAGTGTTCCCCCGAGTCAGCAATGCTCCCAGGCAACGCGCTTCGGTGTCGCGTCCGTTTCCCCCAACGGCACTACGCTCAACGCTGGTGATGTGCATACAAATCCTCCACATGTCGCCTGACTCCAGAGGTGCTCACTCATAGACCTCTTCATCCAGAAAATCTCGATCAACGTCAATTTTTCTTGCGGCATCCAGCAGTTTAACATCGTGCCCAAGTATCTTGACTACTATCTTGAAGTCCAGGAGGGCAACAATGGCCACCAGCCCCCAATTCTCCTCGCACGCCGCGAGTTCAAGACCGGAGCTACCTCAGACTCGTTCACTGTTAAGGTAAAGGCTATATACCTCTATTGCGCCACACGTTCAGGGACTGATCGCCCGCCCCGCATTGTAGATCCCCCATGGGTACTTCTTCCCCAATGCGAAGAATGTTGTTGCCATTTGGAACACCTACACTACCAAGGGTACTGATGGTAGCAATGTCTTCGTCAAGGGAGGCGTCTTTGTGCCCATCAACATCAACGCCACTGTTTAGTGGCTTACTCGGTTTATGGACTCTTAAGTATATGCGTACATAACTAGCAATGAGTGCGTGAGGCTACTTCCCAAGGCTCTTTCACATGTCAACAAGCCTTGAGGACGTTGTGGCGACATGGCCGAGCGGTCTAAGGCCTAGAATCGGGAACTTTGTTCTATATCTAGTCTTTCTCAAAAATGTTCTGCATTCAAACCCACCTGATAATGTAGAGGCGGGAGATCGAATCTCCCTGTCATCACGAGCTCCTTACAGAGATTTTTATGTGGCACAAGGATCCTGAGCATTGCGCCACAACGGCTGAACGCAATATCTGAACCCTCGATCGAGCCAATTGAACATCATTATTGAGTCCTGAGGAAAAATCATATTTGTCGCGTCAGCAGAATGTACATATGTCATCGATTTTACTAGTGAGCAAGCATATCGAGTGTATCATAATATAGCAGAGATACTAACTAAATTCAACAACTGGTGTATGTAAGCTGTCCAAATCACACCTGAAGAAGCATCTCCTGACTCTCAGGAGATAGTAGTCGATTTTCTGTGCGAAGCACCTGCTGTGCAAACCCAGACAAATTTTCCCATAGAGTCCCAGGTAACCAGGCCTTGGGCATAGAAAGGCCCAAAGTTGACAATTTGTGAACTGTCGGGGTTTCCTGGTCCAAGCATCTGGAGATGAACGGCATGGTAACCGATGCTGCACAATTCTTGAGCTCCAAAATTGGTGAGCGCCAGCACAGGGACTCGAGGTTCTGTTGTCCCATCTTTCTCCAAGGTATGTGGTGTATTGCAGTGAAGGGACTCGATGGTGGAACAATCAGCGTCCTCTAGCACGAGATAATGCAGTTTAGGCCAGTGGGCAATGAATATCGCAGTATACCGGCGCATCCTTTGTAGGGTGGACTTGATGTAATCGGGCAGGTCCCTCAGCAGCTGGGGCAGGATGAGAGAAATGTGGTGGAAGTGCATGGTCTCAAGTACTTCTGGTGGTATGCATGCTTTGATGAAGTAGAGCTGCAGTACTGACTCTGCTCCTGCTCCCTCCCAATGAGTCAACGCCCCTCCAGATCTCTGAGGAAGCTCTGTATTTGGCAGCAGAACATCCGCAAGTCTGACGTGGCCCAAGCGGCCATGCTCAACACCACGTGACCTGAGGACTGGGATATCCTGGCCATCCAGGAACCTTACCTTGACCACCTAGAAAACACCAAGGCCTCACCCTTCTAGATGGTCCGATACCCCCACCACCACTGATGAGATGGGAGCTCCCACTCTCACTCTATACTACTAATCAACTCCAACATAGCTACTGACACATATACTCTACTTGATATACCATCCACAGACATCACAGCTGCCCGCTTCAATGGGGACTTTGGCCATCTTAGCATCTTCAACATCTACAATGACTGCACCCACAATGATACTCTGACCACCCTCTCCACCTTCCTTTCCTTCTCCATCCAACATGCCCACCCCTCCCCTAGCAACCACATGCTCTGGCTTGGTGACTTCAACAGGCACCACCCCCTCTGGAAAACCCTCGACAACTGCCACCTCAACTCCCCTGAGGACACCATCAACCCCCTACTCTGACTATTCCAGTGCTATGACATGGACTTGGCACTCCCTCTGGCATGCCCTACGCTGCAAACAACCAGCGGTCGCTAGACCAGGCCCAACAATGTCTAGCGCTCCTACACAAATGTTGACCCCATTATCTCCTGTGATGTTGATGCAAGCCTGCATCCCCCGATCACTGACCACCTCCCCATTATCACAGAGATTGAACTGCCAGTGGCATGCATGCCGTTGCCCCCCTTCCGCAACTTTCATGCTGCTAACTGGGAGAAGTTCAACATCTCCCTGGCTGCCAAGCTCATCGGACACTCACCAGCGAAGGCCATCACCTCCACCAGTGAGTTCCACACCAAGGTCTCTCTTCTGACAGAGATTATACAGGAGATTATCTCTGATGATGACATTGTCCTGCTAAAGAAGCCATGCCTGTTTTCAAAATGATGGTGGACCCTGGAGCTCACAGCTCTGAAACACGCCCACAGCAAGGCCAGCAATAATGCATTCAAGTACTGTGACATCCCCGACCACCCCTTGAACATGGAACATGTGCATCTCTCATGCCTCATGGCTGACAAAGTCAAGGAGGCCCACAAGGAGCACTGGATCAACTGGCTCAAAAACATTGATGTACGCCAGATCTACACGGTAAACAAGTATGCCATAAACAAGCCCTCTGACTTCTTCTGCAACAGGGTCCCAGATCTCAAGACTACTGGCAATGGCTTTCCAAAGCTTGCCACCACTAATGGTGACAAGGCCGCAGCCCTAGCTGAGTCATTCTTCCCTCCCCCTTCCACAACCCTGTCCATCCCCTCCACTGCATACCCGCGCCCACTCCCAGGTGTTCAGCTCTTCTCCTGTGCTTGCATTCTCTCTACAATTGCTTAGCTCAAGCCACACAAGGCACCAGGCCCTGATGGGATCCCGAATGTTGTTTTGAAGCAGTGTCCTAACACCCTAGTTGACCACCTCTTCTATATTTACCACGCTGTCCTGGAGCTTGATGTCTACCATGACAGTTGGCTTGTTTCCACAACACTCATGCTGCGCAAACCTAGCAAGCTAGCCTACAATGTAGCCAAGGCCTACTGCCCGATTGGGCTTCTGAAAACCATTGGAAAGCTCCTCTTGATGCTCTTTGCTGCTGACCTTGCTCACCTCACAGAAAAACACAACATGCTCCCCTCGGGGCAATTTGGGGGACACCCTGGCTGCAATATGACCAATGCCATGTACCTTGTTGCCCACAACATTAAGGATGCCTGGCACTCAGGTAACATGGCCGCTGCTCTTTTTCTTGATATTCAGGGTGCATTCCCCAATACTGTCCATGACCGTCTCCTTTACAACATGAGGGAGCAGGGTGTCCCAGTGTGCTACATAAGGCTGACAGAGTGCATGCTCTCAAACCGTAAGACCAGTCTCAAGTTTGATGACTTTGCCTCGGAGCCATTTGATATCTTCAATGGCACTACACAGGGCTGCCCTGCAGCCATGCTTTTCTATGCACTTTATAATGCTTCTCTAGTTGAGACAGTGAGCCCCTCCCACAAGGAGGAGCTCTCTGCTGGCTTTGTTGACGATTCCATGTTCCTCACAGTTGCCAAGACACTTGACAAGGCCCATGCCATACTTGCTGATATGACCGAGCGCCATGGTGGTGGTTTTGACTGGTCCACCTCATACAACTTGCCCTTTGAGCTATCCAAGCTCACTGTCATGAACTTCCCCTGCTCCCACTATGATTGCCCACTCCACGACCTTGTCCTCACTCGCACCAACCCATCTGGGCCCATGACTAGGCAGACCATCACCACTGTCACCACCTACAAATACCTTGGCATCATCTTTGACTCCAGGTTATGCTGGATGGCCCATTATCAGAAGGTAATCACTAGTGCAACCTGGTGGTTGCTGCAGGTAGCATGTCTCTCTCGTATCTCAGGCAGTATGCCCCCAAACTGCATCCAACAGCTCTACTGCACTGTCATGGTGCTGGCCTTCACCTACGCTGCTGACGTGTGGTACACCAGGATTCACTCCTCCTCACAGAGCAAGAGGTGACTTGGCTCTGTGGCAATTACTAACAAACTAATCCTAATCCAGTGCCGGGTAGCAAAGCTCATCACCAGCTTCCTCAGCACCACTGCAGGAGATGTGCTAGATGCCCACGCTAATCTCCTGCCAGTTGATCTCCTCTACCACAAGATACTCTACTGCGCTGCAGTGTGCCTCTTATCTCTTCCCCCATCTCACCCCCTCCATGCTCCTGTCCACTGAGCTGCCAAGCAGTACATACTCTGCCACTGCTCCCTATTACACAGTCTGTTCCATGTCACTGGAGTTGACCCCACTCTAGTGGAAACAATCTCACCCACATGATGGCACCCAAACTACTCCCCCTCATTTAGCACCCACATCGAGGCAGACAAGTCAAAGGCTCTTGCTGCAGCCAAACACATCTTCCATCAGGCCCCAGTCTCCATTCACTGTGATAGCTCAGGCTTTGAGGGAGGTGTGGATGCCTCAGCTGTCCTCTATATCAACGGCTCTGAGACCTCCTCCCTTTATTACCACCTAGGCCCCACTACACAGCACATGGTGTATGAGGCCGAAGCAGTTGGCATCGCTATAGGCCTCCACCTCCTTGTAAACCTCCACCACTGCCTCCCCCAGCACCACCCCACCATGATTGGCAGCAACTCCCAAGCTGCCATTCAGGCGCTGCTTAACCAACACCCCCACCCCAGTCACTACCTCCTTGACCAAGTCCACAATACAGTGGAGAAGCTCCATGTAACTCAGGATTGCATATCCTGCAAGGAAGAATGTGCCAGTGCCCACCATGCTGGTCTCCCCTGGACCAACCGCAAACACGACATCCTCAACCTGCAGATTCACTGGATGCCAGGCCACATCAACTTTGAGCCCAATGAATGAGCCAACAAAATCACCAAGGTGGCCGCCCAAGGCTCCTCCAGCCCCCTCTGCCTCCTCCTCCCCTCTCTCCATCATGGCCCTCTCCCCCACAGCATACCTGCCCTCCACCAGCAGCATGTTGACTATCTCTGTAGGATCTGGAAATGCCGCTGGAAGAAGTTTCTGCAGTTCCTAAATGCCAATACCATTGACAAATTACTCCCCTCCAAGAAATTCCTCAAACTCATCTCCAACCTAGACTGACCCCAATCTGCCTTAGTTGCACAGCTGCACACAGGCCACTCCCCCCTCAACTAGCATCTCTTCCATATTTGCCGCTCTGAGACCCCCTCATGCCCCCACTGCAGAGGATTAACTGTCAAGTCAGTCTGACACTACCTCCTTGTCTGCCCTCACTACCAGCATGAGCGACACTACCACCTGCGTACAAAACTGAAACAAAAAGCTGAGTCCCTCTCCCACCTCTTGTCCCACCCCAATGCACTGCAGCACCTCCTCAGGTTCATGCACATGACAAAAAGATTCAAGCCCACCAATGCCCTAGCCCACCAACACTGTCCTCCCCCCCTCTCCCATGATATCTGACTGCCACCCCCTCTCATCACCTACCTAGTTGAAATATGAGAAAGGAGGAATGAATTGACTACAGTACACAGTACAGTAGTACAGGCTTAAATACATAGAATATACAGTTCTACTCTACATACTAGCATGTGA